GTTGGCCCTATGTTGGCCCTATGTTGGCCCTATGTTGGCCTATGTGGGCCCCATCTTGGCCCTGTCTTGGCCCTATGTTGGCCCTATGTTGGCCTATGTTGGCCCCATGTTGGCCCATCTTGGGGCCTATGTTGGGGCTATGTTGGCGATATCTGAGGGCATCTATGTTGAAAGATTTCCAAAATGCCACTTTTCCCGTCCCGGACCCCTCCGTGGACGCCAAAACCATGTAAAAACAACGGTTTTTTGCTATCGCCTAGAAAAAAAAAGGGATCGGCCAAGGCAACGAAACAGCTGCAGCAACAGCAACTCCTTGCCAAAAGGAGCTGGGCGCTCCCAGTCACAGCTTTTAGGCTGCACGTCCATAGAAACCCGCGCGTCTTTTGCTGCCAGGTGAACATGACGTCTTTGTGGAACTTGGATCTAAGGTTTTGCAGATGGCTGTGAAATAGTAATTTACAAGCATTTTCATGTTGTTTTGCTGACAGATCATCATGGATTCATTGTTAACATATCATTCATTCATTTCAGTGTTGAAGATGACAGCGTTTGAAACTAACTTTGGGATGACAAAAAATGTTTTTCATTGCGTTTCGTGTATGATTTGGCACATTAAATTTCGGCATCGGGAGAGGAAATTTCATGTAATTGCATGCAAGTGTCTATGATGTCATGAATATTCCACTGGCTGAGCCAGAACGTAGCATGACGTGCGTGTGAAAGTGCAAGAGAAGATCCCAGAGCGTAGAATGACGTGTGTGTGTGTGTGCAAGGGCAAGAGAAGATCCCAGAGCGTAGCATGACGTGCGTGTGAAAGTGCAAAAGAAGATCCCAGAGCGTAGCATGACGTGACGTGCGTGTGCAAGTGCAAAAGAAGATCCCAGAGCGTAGCATGACGTGTGTGTGCAAGTGCAAGAGAAGATCCCAGAGCGTAGCATGACGTGCGTGTGCAAGTGCAAAAGAAGATCTCAGAGCGTAGCATGACGTGTGTGTGCAAGTGCAAAAGAAGATCCCAGAGCGTAGCATGACGTGCGTGTGAAAGTGCAAGAGAAGATCCCAGTCCATGCATGTTCAAGTTGACATGAACGTTATTGCCCCACCCCCCCCCACCAATCCCCACCCTGACTGCGCAACATACATTCCATGCTTGTGCCACTTGACATGAACGTTATTGCCCCACCCCACCCCACCCTTCCCCCCTATATCACAGATATGCATATTGTATTGCGGGTTTCTAGGGACGTGCATGGTTTTACTACTACTACTACTACTAGTAGTAGTATTAGTAGTAGTACTACTACTACTACTACTACGACTACTACTACTATTATATTGCCTGCGCCTTTTCTCTAGAACATGAGCGTGCTGTGCACTGCATTCTGTGTAGCTGGGCGCCGAGCTCTGGATTCGCCACGTCTTTGTGGCATCAAAAAGAAACGCTGAAGCGAATTGTGAGGCCCCAGCAGAAATTTCCACCCTATTCAAAATTACCCCGGGTGGGGGGGTGTGGATGCTGAGTTCCCTTGAGATTGGTGAAATACACGGTCACACGACAATCCTACTCAATCGTTTGGTGCACACTAGCCAGCAAGTGGAGCCCGCAAGATTCGTTGGCTCGCATGCTTCTGGTTGGAAATCACACGACAATCCTACTCAATCGTTTGGTGCACACTAGCCAGCAAGTGGAGCCCGCAAGATTCGTTGGCTCGCATGCTTCTGGTTGGAAGTTGGAAGTGCTATTGATCTGAGTCTTGCCATGAACGTGTATCAGAAATTCAAAGGCTTCGGCAACATAGTCTTAGACTTAGATGCCTGCGCCTTTTCTCTAGAACATGAGCGTGCTGTGCACTGCATTCTGTGTAGCTGGGCGCCGAGCTCTGGATTCGCCACGTCTTTGTGGCATCAAAAAGAAACGCTGAAGCGAATTGTGAGGCCCCAGCAGAAATTTCCACCCTATTCAAAATTACCCCATGCCCATGATCAGAATGGCTCAGGGATTAGGGGGGGACAGGGTGTTTAAAAGTCAGCACTAATTGCCTGGAAAAAAGTTTCGGGTAAATTTGTGCTTGCTGTGTGATAAAAGCCTTTCCAGAGATTCCAGTCAGTTGCAAATGAGGACGTCCAGTGAGAGAGCAAACCTTTCGGCCTGAACATCTTGCAAAATTGGCAGGATGGCAACTGATCAGCAGCAAGGAAGTCGGATTCTTCCAATGTGTCCCAAACTGGCAGAAGTCTGTAGTGACCAACTGCACCCGGGGATCTTGCAGCAATCGCAAAATCTGCGGTGTCAGCCAAACCAGGGAAGAAGCTGGGTTTTCATGGGTTTTCCAAATACGCACTAATTCCCCGTTTCAAACATTTCTTGAGGAGCCTAATGGCCAGAAAAAACATACGATTTGCACGGAAAACTTTCTGAGCATCTTTGGGGACTAAATCGGGAAGACCAAACAAATCGCTGCCAGGTTTTCTCGAAGGCTTCGGCATTCTCGACCACCACGGCGCACGCCTAGCCCTGCTCCACGTGTTGCAGGGAAGTCAATGCCAACGCAGCTGAATAAAGATGTCAGCCCAGCGAGATGGCTTGGATAGATCATTCAGTGGAGAATCGCTAAGGTCTATGACACAACTCTGACCACCAAACGAGCAAAAAGCTTTTGCTGGGTTCCCAATTCCCCCAAAAAGACTCAGAAACTTCAGTCCTTGAAATTCTGCAGAACTGCTCTCCGAAGTGCCACTGGTAGTTGGACTTTCCCACCTCGGAAGTAAGTTGCGAAATGCACACGCATCTCCTCGCCCAACTTCATGTACTTGTCGCTCACCGAGTTGATCGCCTGCTGCAGTCTGCCTGGCTTGTCGTAAATTCTGGCGCTGGCGTCTGCTGCCCAACGCCCCCTCCTTTGTATCGCTGGCACACTCCTCAATCTCAACAGGTGGTCGCGAGAGGCTCCGCCGTGTCGATTTTGATAAGGTGATTGTGCCAGGTTTTCTACATCCAAGCTCCGGACACACGCCCTCCACACCTTGAGGTATTGGCTTGAGTTGAAGCCCCACAACGGGCAATCTGCCCCGTATTTCCTTTCTTTCTCTTTGGCGAGCTCTACAACTAGCGGCCCCAGACATGTCATTCTCAGATCGTCCAGAATCAACACCTCGTCGTAGATGCCCGTTTTGCTGCCCTCCTGTCTTTCGAAGGGGCTCAGGATGATCACATCGTGATCGTAATCCTTGTTCCTGCTCACAACATCTGCCACCTGAACTCTGATCAGTTCTCCTGGTCGTGCATAAGTTGAAAACGACACTTCGTTGTATAGGGCCATTTCCTTCCAGCCTCGATCCAGCATCACCGCACTGATTGCCCCCTTGATGAACTCTATCATGGGAAGACGTGTCTGCGATGGAGCCATCTTCCGCCATCCTTTCATGGCTCGGCGAAAACGTGGGAGCTTCAGGTCGCCGTGCCGGGAAGCCTCTGGTCTCTCGAACTCCAGTGCCGCCTTCAACTTCTCTCCTGCATCGTGACCATTGCCGTCCAGATAGAGGAAGTCTGCATAGTCGCACAAGGCTTCGTCCAACTCCTTCTCGTCCGAGACGGGGAGCTGGTAGTGAGCGACGAAAAGATAGAATTGCTCTAGCCTCTTCGCATAATCCAGCCTCTGTGCTTTCTTCACACTGCCCATTTCCAACAAACTTCTCTCTCCATGTCCATGGGTGGCTCTCAGCCTCTTCTCGTATTTTCTCTGTCTCTCCTGAGCTTTCCTCCTCTTCTCGGCCACCGACTTGATGACCGCCCTGAGCCCTGAGCCCACTGGCTTCTTGCCTGTGACCTCCCTCATTCTTGAAGGGCTCCTGCTCCTCCTCCTCCGTGTGTGAGCCTCCGATCTGTTCGGGCTTTTCACTCGCCCATTGGCCTTCTGTACCTCCTCCTTGGTGAACAACTTCACCACTCTCTTCTGGCGCTGCCCTGTGAACAGCTTTGGGGAGTCTGGCCGGCTCCCACCGCCGACTGTCTTCATCGGCCACGTTCAACTCCGAAGGCACCCATCTCACTGCCAAACGAACACCGGTTGCGAGGAGATGTGCCGAAATACGGCGGACAATGTGCATGAGGTTGAAATTGTGACACCTTCCTTTCTGGATTGCAAGGATGACACCCATATTGTCATTTAGCACTAGAATTCGCTTCCCATGTCGCCGTCTATCTCGACAACGATGCTTCACTGCCCCCAACACACTTCTAGCTTCTATGATATGCACTGGTTCCTGATGCCAAATACGTGAATTCCAAACTTTCTTCCACCTTTCACATGCCATGAAAGAATGTGGTACTTCAGGAAAATTGCGATCTGAAACCAGCGTCTGCTCTACTCTACCGTCTACTGAAGGAAGTACTGTGTTTGGATCATGTAGGGGATCTGCATGTTCTAGCGCTATCTCCCGCGGTGCCCGTCTCTGTCCTCCATCCAGCTTGAAGCGCCAGCGCTCGTCTTGCCGCCCAATCACTGCCAGCTCCGCGCTGGTATGATCTCCCTCCATCACCGCATAACCTGACAGGCATGCATCAGTGCATAAAGGTTGAGGGTCCCATTCCGCAAAAACATCAGCTGTACCCAGAGGCATCAATGCTCTAAACAACCAAATCTCATTAGCCACGCTCTTCCAAAGTCTCACCTTTTGTTTGTAGCATTGTTCAATGAACGTGTAGCTGTGTCGCAATATGCCCATAAGCCCCCGATGTAATAACGACCGAACCGTAATATGTCCGACTATAACCTGTAGTTGTTCACCAGTGATATACGGTCTAGCGATCAAAGCAGCTAACGATCTGTCCAGACGCCAATCTCTTTTTGCTGTAGGTTGAATGGCCCCTGAGACGCCGTTGATTCTCACCCCCAAACTTTCCGCAAGGCTCACGCCCTCTGTCTCTTCATGGGTATCCAAACCATAACTATGCAAAACGCCAATAACCCGCTCCTGGTCCTTCAACACGGCCGCCCTATCCAAACCAATGTGATTGTTGTTGTCTGCATAGATTAACATGGCTGTAGGATTATGCCCCCGCATAGGGTCACTGCCAAGTACCGGTGTCGCGAAACGATCTCGCAGTTGAGGTACTTCAGGCAAAACTCTCCTAGCAAGCTCGCAATGGGCTTCATGTGCTAAGTGGAAAGACCAAGCAAAACCCATAGGTAACACCTTCATGCAGGGATAGATAGGAGCTGCACTAACATCTTGAAGGTGTGCATACTCTTCTGGTAAATAGCCCAACTCCTTCTCTAATAACTTCCCATCCACTACCGGAAGGGAAAAATACTCTCCAAGCTTACGGGTGATCTTTAAACGGTAGAAGAAGTCTTTCACGTCTTCTTGGGCTACGAAAAGCTCTGATGACATACTGCTGGACCCTCTTGCCACTTCAATGCGACTCCATGTTTCCACGCTTCCTAACACAGTTGTTGGGGGTTCCCTGAACAGTCGGTTGGTACGTCTCGCATCAATGATGAGACGCTGCTTTCCAGACTTTTTGGAAACCATGAAAATGCCAACCTGTGAGCGAGGTGTAGTTGTAAAATATAAAAGATTGCACCGCACCAGATCACCGATGAAAGCATGGTAAGCCTTGGGGTTGCTAGCAATTTGTGGGTCCATGTACATGTCCTTGTCAAAACCTTTCTCCTGTTCACCAGCTATTTCCTCAGGGCTTAACAACATATGCTCCTCAAACCCGTCCAGAAACCGCTTTTCTCTCTCAGGAAGCATCTCAGCAAGGTCGGCTGGTTCTCCCTGCCCAAATGGCAAAGAGAGTTGATCCCGCACATAGCTCGCCAATTGCCCCGGACTGTCGGTTGCCTCGTAGACTCCCGATGCCTTTCCACGCAGCAGCTGTCGCAACGCTGCCTGCTCACTTTCTGCAAAAGGGGGAGGAGCTCTCTGAAAATGCGCGCCCCGCACCCTATGCAATGCCTCTCTCTGTGCTAGGTTCAAAGGCTCGGAGGGCCACTTTGTAGAATCCACAAAACCAGCGAGGTGATTGATGGCTGACACCGAATCCCTCACTCTATCCATGAGGACGCGACGTTTTGAAACACGCTGCTTTGCCCTCCTGGATCTCAAATGGCTCACCTCACCTTGAAAACTTTCATCCACAGGAAGGGGTAGAGGCAGGAGATCCCCAAACCTGGCCTTTGCGGCATTGGAAAACTGCTGAACACCTAAAACTGTGTCATCAGCCCCCCCGGTGTCCTGGGGAGACCAACCACCCTCAGCGCTAGGGTTGCTCGGGAGCGGCCTTAGCAGCCGCCCCTTTGCCACCTTTTCCACCTCCTTTGGGATTGGGCTCACTTCGAAGATGCTTTCGCTCCTCCGCTGCCAACCTGGTCTGCTTCAAGATCTCGGCTTTTGCTGCTTGACGCCGTGCTGCATGCTGTTGAAGGGCTGGGTCGATCAGGCTGCCGTCTGCTGCGTCTCTCACTCCAAGGAACTCTTCCGCCCCTTCATATGATGGGGTGTCTGGCCTTCCTTGGTGTGCATGTTCGATCAAAGTCCGACGCCTGTTCATGCTTTCAGCACACGCCAACCCTCCAGCATTCAGTTGATCATAGCATACCAAATAGTTAAGGCTCCTGCAAATCGCCGCATGCTCATGGACACTCCTGTCACTGTGACGAACACCACTCTTCTTGAGCCATGACTCGTGGTGCTGGATGAAGTCCATGCTCAAGCGCCTCAATTGTCGCATGTCGCGCATGATGGTCCTAGGCCCAGCTAAAGGGAAATCATCGTACTCAATCTCCTCCATGTCCGGGACCGCCTCACCTATTGTCCTCCACCAGAGTCAAACATCACCGGGAGGATGCGGACATCTTGGTCCTCCCTTTTTTGGCTTTTGGCCACCACGCCCTTGAGGCTCCTCTGCAAAGCAGCGATTTCATCACCCTTGACAGCCCTGGTCAAAACTTCCTCACCTCCAAGCGAAAACATGTGAAAAGTTCTGCCCCCAAAAATCACCTGAGATGCTGCACTAGGTACATCAACTTCATCGCCAATGTGACTGCCACCCGAGCTATAGACCACAATATGCAGAGAGTCATCATCCACAACTGCGGCCTCCTCAGGGTTTTTTTCGCGTGCTGGTGCACCTCCGGGTAGACGTGAAGCTCGTCTTCGGTCATGTCTGGCTTGCCGTGCTCTCTCTGCTAGCCGCACCAGAGTTCTGATCTCATCCGCGGAGAAGTCGCCATCGGGAGAATGCTTTGGGAGATAAGTGTCTCTTTCCCTAACACCACCTGGCAACCTTCCCATGCTCATCCGTTTTACTTCAGTATAGGTGTCCCCAACTAAGAGAGTAGTATCTTGAACATCTCTATCAGGGGTGGCCACCGTAACTTCATCACCTTGATGGCACAGCAGGATCAGTTTCCAGTGAAGCAATGCAGGGTCATCCATGAAGCGTACGAGCACGCAATCTTGCGTTAGCCAATTCTTCACTGCTGGATCCCCCAT